TATAAATAATAAAAAGTGGTATTGACTGTGAAAAATAAAGATAAAATGAAGTCCAAAAAGCCGAGGCAGTGGCGCAGTAGGTAGTGCTGTCGCCTCACAGCAAGAAGATCGATGGGTCGCTGGTTCGAATCTCGACTCAGTTGGCGTTTCTTTGTGGAGTTTCATGATCATATTTTATTTTGCTAAAATAAGCATAATCTAGAGGCCTTTACCTTCATATAAGCCACTTCTGACACCAAATGATCAACTAGAAGTCCAGTTATTATTGTTGTTCCTAAAACTTGAGTAGGCAACAAGACTTTTGTCAGGTAGTGTTCAATACACCACAGTTTACTGTTGTAAAAACTATTGTATACTACAGTATTAGATTATCTGTTAACTATAGTTAATACTAAAGTATGTAATAGCATGCATCAAGAATTGTAAATACTATAATATATACAATATAAAACATTTTACTACAGTATTGTTAAAAAACACTGGAGTTTTTATAATAATCATGTGTGTGTACAGCAAAATATGGCAGTTTTTTGCTATTATATTTGTGAGATTAGCATGCGGGCAACATGGTTGTGCAGTGGGTAGCACTATAGCCTTACAGCAAGAAGGTCGCTGGTTCGAGCCCCGACTGGGTCAGTTTCCATTTCTGTGTGGAGTTTGCATGTTCTATATGTTCCCGTGGGTTTCCTCTGGGTGCTCCCCCACAAGTCCAACGACATGCGGTACAGGTGAATTGGGTAAGCTAAATCGTCCGTAGTGTATGAGTGTGTATGGATGTTTCCCAGTGAAGGGTTGCAGCTGGAAGAGCATCCGCTGCGTAAAACGTGCTGGATAAGTTGGTGGTAAATTCCAATGTGCCGACCCCTGATTAATAAAGGGACTAAGCCTTAAATGAATAATTGACTAAAATTATAGCAACGTGCTAAAACACTACAAACACAGTAATAACTTGTTGCAACAACAATATTAAACGTGTTAGCAACTTGCTAAACTTGGTCTCAGCTATCATACAATTAAAACAAAATAT